CTTGCAACCTTCCTCAACAACTGTTCACACACGGCTATTTCTTAAACTGCGCGCAAAAAAAAAGTAGCGATCGCAACGTTGCAGGTTGCCTAGGTATTCACACTTGCAGCAGATCAAGTTGCGCAGTTTTTTAATGTGCTGCGCAACAAAAGTAGCTATGTCTGATACTACCTTGGATGGGAATAATCTGTTGTCATAGTTGGGAACCATAAAACCTAAAATTTGTAAATTCTCTATATACCTAGTTTCTTAAAAAAACATGGGTATTTTGTCACTGAAACAGAATATAAGTTATCAGAAAAAAAATCAAAATTTGTGCAGTATGAATTAGCAAACTCTAGCATTCTGTTTATTGGTCATGTCACTGATTTTGTTAAAACTGCTGTTATTTACTAAATAATAGGCGTAGAATAAGAAAATAGAGGCTATTGTGGTCTTACGAGTACAGTATTACCTGTAGGAGAAATTTTAACCAGATCTTCATCAAAAATAGCTCAAGACACGGGACCAAAAAATTATTTTTTTCAGAACATCCAGATATCTAAGCCTTCAAACGTGTATATATTCGTCTCAAGTGCGTCTCAAAAGACGAGATTTGGTTTGTTAGTATATGACATAAATTAGGATTGATTGACGTATTCAATTGTTTTTGGTCACTTCCTGTTTTACCGGAAATGGCTACAACTTTTGATTTTTAAATGGGACCCTCGGTATATTTTTACTTTATTTGATAGAAAATGACACTCTGACTAGAATGACATATCATATGTCAATTTTTGACATTTTCGCTTAAAAAAATCGTATTTTAAATGTTAATCTAGGGTGTCATGGCTGTGTTAAAAACACTAATTTTTAGTCAAGGAGCCTTGGAAAAATAAATTTGGTTGTCTAATGTTTTTAGTGTCTTGTCCTGATGGCCGGTTAAAAGATGCCTAAATCGTAATTTTAATCATATCTCAATTTTTTCAAATGGAACAAGGATGGCGCATTAGCATATTTGGAAAAAACATTTTTTTACGAATAATTTGGTACCACACACTTGCTATTTCGAGTCAAATTGTCGTTATGAACCGTATGTTACAATTTCAAGTAAATTATAAGCGAAGATGTCGAAAGTTATCATGTGATGTCATTCTATTCAGAGTGTCATTTTCTATCGAATAAATTAAAAAAATATCAAGAGTGTCAATTAAAAATCAAAAGTGTTGTAATTTCCGGTGAAACAGAAAGTGACCGAAAACAAATGAATACGTCAATCAATCCTAATTTATGTCACATACCAAATCTCGTTTTATTATCTGGAAAAATAAAACTTTGAGACGCACCCGGTATAGTCATGAAAATTGGCGATTTTCGTTATGCCACCGATTTTACTAAAACTACTGATACCGCCATTACTCGCTGACGAGTATTTGACACGCATGAGAAGATGGTCACGCAAGGCGTTTTCTTTCATGAGCTTTTCTGTGACTGAAAAGCCTGATACGTGATGTTATCTGTCTACCGCACTCCAGACATTCAAAAATCTCATTGCTTTGTTGCCTCTTTTGTTCTACCGATAAAACTACTGATCTCTTGTTTTACCGATAAAACTACTGATATTTACTAACAAAAAGACGTAAAATAAGAAAACATATACCACTGCGATCTTACGAGTACAGTATTAGTTGTAGAGACAGTTTGAAGTTTGAACCATCATCAAAAACAGCTCACAAACAAGAGTCCAATAAATTAATTTTCTCCCAAAGCCAAGATAAAGTAACAGTTTGACTAAAATATTGTCAATATATGCCCGAAAACCAAAAACACACCAAAAAATTAATTTTCTTACAAAATCAAGGCATCTAAGTCTTCAAAGTTGTATGTAGTCTGAATCTACAGAAAATTTCCTACAAATTCTGAATTCTTTTCATAGTTATATGACTACTTTTACGGTTTTTCTAAGACCTTTGAATATGTGTAAAAACATGACCAAAATGTGCATTTTTTTCGACTTTTTTCCATACAAAAAATCATGAAAATTGGCGATTTTTTAGTTAACTCAGTAGTTTAGATTGGTTCATACTTAGATACATCTGATCGAATAGCTTTGTAAATAAAAATAAAGACAATGGAAGTCGATTTTTTTTTAGTTGCATTACACGGTCACGGCCTGCAAAGCATTTTTCTGAGACGTTCGTTTTATAGCAGCGTATCTCCAATACAAACAGAGATAATGTCGTGATTAAAAAAACAAAATGCTCACAAAAGATGAGGCTACAATGTGATTTGATTTAACAATAGCTACTACAGCTGCTGCACCCTACAGGGGGTTACAAGTTCGGGCAAAAAACTTCGTCTTATTGTTGTGCCCTGTATATGCTCAAAATAAATTCGGAATAAAAATTTCTGACGTAGCATCCGTTAAGAAGGAATTAATTTACAATTTAAAAAAAATCATCAAAATCTAATGAGTGGTTCGCGAGAAATCCAACTTTGAAATTGGGACTAGTTTTTTTTGCCGGTGAGTTTATATTGAAACTACTAACTTGCAACAGAAAAAAAAACCTAGACCGTTGCTTAATTCCAAACCCCGCCAAAAACCAATTTCCTTTTTACAACACACATCGGCCATTTCCTCGCGTCCTTTTCCCATCATCCCTCGCCCTCAGTAATACCCTCGCCTAAAGAAACTCTCCCTCCCAGCCATAAAGCCCGGGAACGGTCCATTTCAGATGCCATCTTGACGCTTATCCGGTCCCATCTAGCCCGTGGACCAATGGGAACGCTGCCAAAGACGCTTTTACGACCGCAAAACGATATTAAAAATGTTTAAGGGTCGAAGCCATGCGAGAGCCAAGATATATTGCCTCGGCTCGGGGCTGGATTAATGGTTCTTTCGGTTATTAGAAAAAGGGGACCAGACTCGTAAATTTTCTTTAGACTGAGTTGGGGTGAGACGGTTTATTAATAAATTTTAATCAAAAAAAAAATTACGACGAGAGTTTTATGAGAAAAAGGCATGACGACACGACTGAGAAATTTGGTCTTGTCTCATCAATATTCCTTGTTATGGACTTTAAGTACTATTAAGGACTATTCAGGGGCGTAGATAGGTGTATGCTATGGGGGTGGTACTATGATTAAGTCGCAAAAAAAAACACCGTCGGAATTTTTTTGTTGAATTAAAATGACGGCGATTTTTTTGTCTTCAAAAAGATATAAAAACATAACACAAAAATTAAAATATAGATTTGTAAATAACATAAACAAAAATGAAACAACGACGTTTATTAGTTAATTTTCTATAAACTATAAATAAAAAACTCTAAACTATCAAAAAAAAACTATAAAAACAATAAACTATAAATAAAACTACAAAACAAAATCAAGTTTTCTAGTACGCTGTTTGGAAAACCTATCAATAACAGCATCAACATTTTTTTCAATATCTTTATGGATATTGATTAGAGTTAACCCCACTAATCTGTCCTGACCAGTAATAACACTTTGTGTGCTTTTAATTAGGTCGAACATATTATAAACGATAAATCAATATAATTAAAAGCATACAAAGTGTTCTTATATGTCGGATATTAATTAAAAAAAATCCTTTCATAGTCAATGACTATTTCAATTCTCGTATCTCGTCAAGCGTCAGGGGGGGTACTGTCCCCCAGTACCCCCCCTTATCTACGCCCTTGGGACTATTAAAGTAAAGCTTTTTTATTAAATGTTTTCTTTTTCTGTTTTTAAATATTTCTTTTCATTGTTTTAGGTTGCGCTTATAGTAGGTGTGTCTAGGGCATGTCGAAGTGATCGAGCTACTGAAGATGAAAACTACGCATATTGATATTTTAGAAAACAAAATTTGCATAGAAATTCCCGATACAAAAACTTATAAGAGTAACACAAGTTGAATAGAAATTGTGAAAGAATTTATACAGTTACAAAAAGATATTGAGAGTGAGAAATTTTTTGTTCAATATCGATTAGGAAAAGCTCGAAATCAACCCTTTGGATACAATTATTCTATATTTAAATTTCCGCACAAAATTGCTAGCTTTTTCAAACTTCCCAATGAGAAAACCTACACAGGTCATGCTTTTAGACGAACAGCGGCTACGTTGCTGGTAAATAGCGGAGCTGATATTTTACAGCTGAAGCGTCTAGGGGGTGGAAATCCAGTGCTGTAGCTGAGGGTTATGTGGATGCATCTGTAGCCTACCAAACTAAACCCGCAAATATGATATCTTCAACAACATCGTTGCCATCGTCTTCCTGTAGTAATTCAAACTCTTTCCTTCTTTCGTTGACATAAGAAGACCTGGCACAAGTCAGGAGTTAAGTTTTTGCAGCAGTGAAAGCTCAATGAGTGAAACACATCATCAGGGCGGCCCCTTAACAATATCGATTAACGCGTACAATAAGTCAAATTTGACCATTAATTTCAACAAATAAATGTATTACAATCTTCAATTATTATTGTTAATCTTCTTGTTTATTTTTGTTGATGTTAGATAAGTATTTAATAAAGATATTACAAGAATATTTTGCTTAATGAAATGAGGCGAGAAATAAGAAAAATCGAGTGAGGGAAATGAAAGAGGGAAGAAATGTAAATAATTTGACACTTTCAACTTTTTTTTAAGTCAGTAATATCAGTATTACATATGTGGTTGTAAAGTAATATTTTTTTGAATTTTTTGTCTGTTAGTTTTAGGTTTATCTATAATCACTTTCAAAAATATTAAGTGCAGAATCATTTATTTTCAAACAAATTAAAATCGACTAGGGATGTTAAATTTCAAAGTATTTTTCACTGTGTCTTCCTAAACTTACTACTTTTATTGTCATTTCGTGCTGAATAAATTTCAAATACCATTGTTCTCGTTCCCATGAAACAATAATTCATTCCAAACACGATTTTCGGTATAACCTGTTTAAAAAACATGCGATTCGAGACTACTTCAGGCTATCTAATCAGAGCTTGTTGAAATTTAGGTTTATTTATTTATCAATTCCTTTCAGAAGTACGTTGTAACCTCTACTTCTAATTTAAAACGTTTTTTTTTTTCAATTAGTTGTATGTTTTGTTAAGTTATAGTGCGTTGAATGAAATTTTTAATATGGTTTTGAGATATTTTTTGTTTTTATTTTTTTGTTCTGCTACAATTTATGGTGAGTAACTAACTTACTTTCATAAACATGATATTCTTTGATAGTATTCATAAAAAATGTATTTTAAAATAAAGTCTATGGTAATAATAAAATATAAAGAATCAAAAATAAATTAAATTTAAAATATTACCAACTAGCTGCAAGAAAACCAGGATTTGGTTCTACCCAGCAGAACTGGGGTTTTGTCCCGATCAATGAAAAGGCTGACATGTTTTGGTGGTTATACTACACCACATCCACGGATGATTATGTTCAAAAACCTTTAGTTATTTGGCTTCAAGGTAACAGTATATTTATTGGTAAATAAATCTATTATAGTTCCCCTAACACTAATACCTATTCAAAGTAGAACATTTCTTAGAAATATTCAACATATTATGGTATTAAAAATATTAAAAAATACACATATTACATTAGGGTGCACAAAAAAAATATTCAAGGTGCACACCTTAATATTACAAATATTTATATTTATTATTTGTAGATTCTGACAAAATATTTCTATTTAATCTTTTGAATCAATATATTTAGGTGGTCCTGGAGGCTCATCTACAGGGATCGGAAATTTCGAAGAAGTAGGCCCTATGAACTCCAAACAAGAGCAAAGAGACGTTCACTGGATAGAACATGTTAATGTTTTATTTGTGGACAACCCTGTAGGAACTGGGTAATAATTTATAATAGTATAAAAATATAATTTGTTTGATTTTTTTCCAATGAAGAAAAAATATATTAAAGGAATTATTATTTAAATATGGAGTAAAATCAATCTATACTAAGACTTATTTTTCTTATATGTAGTTTTAGCTACGTTAAAGACAGCGACACAAGTTATTTTGCCAAAGACAACACAGCTATAGCACAGGATTTCTTAGTATTTCTTAAAGGATTTTTACAGGAAAATACGGAATTTCAAGAAGTCCCCATATATATTTTTGGTCAATCTTATGGAGGCAAAATGGCTGCAGATATTGCATTGCTGCTACACGAGGTAACAATATATAAATTGTTTATGATTATATCTCAATTTGTTTGACAAAAAAACACTAATTTAGCACAATAATACATCAAAACACTTTATTGTTACCTTTAAAGACGCGTTTTGGTTAACCATGTTAGTATCATCAGCATTGTCTGCTGATAATGCTTAATATTTTAAATGTTTTGGAGTATTGGGTTGAATTAGTGTATTATTATGCTGTTGTAAACTAGTAGATTCTAGACACTAATTATAAACATTTAAGAATACTTTTGGACTTATAATAAGAATTGTTTAAGGAATCAAAAGTTAGAAATATAACGTGCAACCTTACTGGTATTGCTTTAGGAGATTCCTGGATTTCTCCTATTGATTCTTTAACATCTTGGCCGTCTTACCTGTACAATCTTGTAAGTATACAGAGTAAATACCTTTATTATTTTTTATTAGATTTAGGATTCAGTAAACTACATAGTTAAAAATGTTAGAAATACTAATTAGACTAATTTATATTTTAAGTTAATGATGTTTTTAGGGATTTTTAGATTTTGACGACTTTCTACAATTGAAAAATATGACAGAATTTATAAGAGAGGAACTGTCAACTGGCGATTACTCCAGAGCTACCCTCTATTTTCGAGCCACTCAGTACGTCATTAATATGTTAACGACAGTGGATTACTACAACGTACTCAGCGAGCAAATAAAACAAAACGACTTAAAACATGGCGACTGTAAGTATCTTCTTCTTCGGGTGCCTCTTTTTAACGAAGTTTGGTTATATTTCTCGTCTTCTGGCCAATCTCCAACTGCTTTTCCTAAGAGATACTGAAAAGTCAAATAATTTAGGTACAAATTGCTTAAAAAATAATCAAAATCGGTTCACTAGAACGCAATATATAAAATTTTAAAAAACATGAAAATTTTAAGGTGATTTTCGTAGCCGATGAGTGTATTTAGTATATTTTCTTTGTTCCAGGGTTCCATTCCAACTTAACACGTACAGATAAAAATATTCTCAGAGATATTATGCCAAATGACTTATTCAGCAATATTATAAACAATAAAGGTAATAATTTACTCTACCAAAAATAATATCAACAATAAATTTAATGTGTGTAATTCTCAAATGAGTATTATATATTGTCTCTTCAGAATCCTGTTAGGTTTTCTTACCTTCTCCTGTTATTTCTTGAATTTTATTTAAATTTCTTGGATTAATTGTTATTTCTAGACAATATTTTGAATTTAATATTAGTTTTTTTTTAGAAACCAAAAATCTCGAATCAGATGAAGACGATGTTTTGTCCACACTGATGAACGGACCTGTTAGAGAAACCTTAAACATCACAGCCATTGCTGATCACAGTGATCACCAGTGGGGTGATCAAAGTGACTTAGTTTTCGAGGCAGTAAATCTGGATTTCATGAAACCAGTAACTGAAGTTATAGAAAAACTGTTAAACGAGACTGACATTGAAATATCTGTCTACAACGGTCAGCTTGATCTGATAGTTGATACCCCAGGTAAATAACTCTGTATATCATTTTTTTCTACATATTTTTTAAACTTTTAATCTCGATTATTGACAAAAACGAAAGAAATTAGAGTTGCTAGATATATTTTATTCTAGGAACTCTGACTTGGGTGAACAATTTGAAGTGGATTAACAAAGACCAATGGGTTGCTTCAAATCGTACTCCCATAATAGTGGATAAAGTATACGAGGGATATGAAAAACGATACGATAAATTTAATTTTTACTGGGTACATCGAGCTGGGCATATGGTAAACATGAATATACCATGAATATTTTATTTTCTAAGACTTAATTTTCATATTTTTTAGGTTCCTACTGACAATCCTCGTACTATGTCCTATATTTTGAAACAAATTGCTCACATTGGTGATTGAGTGTACCTATTTTTTATAGAATAATTATACCTACACATAGTTTATATTTATTTATTTATTTATTTTTAATAAAATCGATAAAATATTCCTTTAATAAAGTTACTAATAGTTATTTTTTATACAAGACGATAATGCAATTTTATCGTCGTGTATAAAACTAATTTCTTTTTTCATGGCGTGTTACGTTTTAAAAAATATTCAGAAATTATTATTTCAAGGAATTTATTACGAGTAGAAATAAAAATCGGTAAAAAAACTTTTAAGTTAAACGGTTTTATCTTATGTACACTGAAAACTAGAAAATAATAATAACAATTAGGTATTTTGAACTTCTAGTTTAGAAATATTTTAGTACTAGGCAGAATAGCTTTTTAGGCATATTAGTCTAAAATAAAAACGTGGGGCCCCTCTGAAATCCTACCTATGGCAAAGCATATCTTTATACTTTGGTAGATCATGAGCTCGGCGTTCGCTGGTGAAGCCGCTACGGCTGGTTATTGATTGTCAAAATCTCCAGTTACGATTATAGTAAGTCGATGCAATCCATACTTAGTATAGAAGAAAGTATTACAGCAATAGTTAATGGGCCCCACGTTTTTATTTTAGTCTAATATGCTTAAAAGCTATTCTGCCTAGTACTAAAATATTTCTGAACTAGAAGTTCAAAAATACCTAATTGTTATTATTATTTTCTAGTTTTCAGTGCACATAAAAACCGTTTAACTTAAAAGTTTTTTACCGATTTTTTTATTTTCTAGCTTTTTTAGTATTTAACGGAAATGCCTACCGAATATTCCTCATTCTATTTAATTCATTTAGTGCATCATTATTACATGGTTTTTTACCTGATAATTTATTACAATCTAATTCCTCAATACATAGCCCTTCCAGAGACTTGACTCGACTTAGAGCCACGTATGCTTGCCCTTCCTCAAACAGTTTTGAGCCCAAATGCACTACTGCATGGTCGACTGTGCTGCCCTGCATTTTATGGACGGTGGATGCCCATGACAAAATTAAGGGTAACATCCTTCTTTCAGCCGTACCATAATTGCATTTTTGCTGGAAACTGTATGGCTTTCGGGTGTATAACGTGTATGCCGTCTCTGCCAAAGTCAATCCAAACTGATGGTACATCTGTTTCGTACATTTGGGTTCGACGGAACTGAGGCCAAACAATTTCTGTAATGTGGCCTATAGCACCATTTACCAATCCTTTTGTAACGTCAATGTTGGACCGCAACATTTTCACAAATTATCACCTATTTTTTTTTTATCTGTCCTTCTATCGTCACACAATCTTGGACACAACTGTTCTGGACACGACTACTCATGCCCTCACCTAATACGCCATTTTGTAACGACGTCCATCTTGGATTTTAAATTTTGTCATAATCACAGTATTCTACCAGTGTAGCCCTTTCATTTGATACCCATATTGAGGGGGTTGTGGAAAAATATGAAATCCACCATTTTGTACCGGCGGCCATCTTATATTTATTTATTTTTAATAAAATCGATAAAATATTCCTTTAATAAAGTTACTAATAGTTATTTTTTATACAAGACGATAATGCAATTTTATCGTCGTGTATAAAACTAATTTCTTTTTTCATGGCGTGTTACGTTTTAAAAAATATTCAGAAATTATTATTTCAAGGAATTTATTACGAGTAGAAAAAATATTGTGCTGGGTTGGCGTTGGTTTCTATGTAATTTGACAAATAAATAAAGCTGTCTCTTTAGTTGTCAGTTTTGAGTCAATATTTTTAATTCTCTTTCGTGTCGATTACTGATTGAATTGCAGCCAAAAATGACAGATATTCAGGCTGAGGCGACAAACGCAATATCCAAACTACTTCCATTTAAATCCCGAATAACTTATGAAAAGGAATACAAAAATTTTCAAAAATGGAAGCAAATAAAAAACGTGCGAGAAGAAATAAAGTTTTTAACCTATACTCGCTCTTAAAGTATCATTTAATCTATCCTTGCTGTTAAAGTACTATTTTATCTACTATTTTTGATAGACATAAGGCAATTTTAACAGAAAAATAAACGTTCTTGTTTAAAATAGCAATTTTAAACCATAAATACAGTTTTCTGTTAAAACTCCATATTTTTTAACTTCTCTAAAACTCTATATTTCTGTCTTAAGATCTCTAGACGAACTTTATCCTATAGGCAAAACGGTCATGTAATACGTTTTGTGTAGATGAAGCTTTATATCAATCCGATAACACTTTTCAAGGAAATATTTAAGAAATTATTAAGTCTAATTTACAAAGAGCAACTTGTAGAAAATTATTCAATTATCTAATTACCATTATTGAGATTTACGGATTTACGTATACAGTTTACTGTAAAACGTATGTGTCTTTTAGTTAATGGTCAATTTTAGCTCGTTTAAAGTGTCCCGAATAACTTAAAAATGGTTCTAAAATATTGCGTATTTTTATTTTTATGTATTGTTTTAGCTAAAGGTGAGTTTATAGTGATAACACTGTTTTTTTTTCTATTTAAAGCTTTAATTTTGATTGTAGGAAAAGCTGGTTTTGGACAGGGACGGCAAAATTGGGGCTTTGTCCCAATAAATGAAAAATCACACATGTTTTGGTGGTTATACTATACATCATCCACTGGTGAATATATTCAAAAGCCTTTAGTGATTTGGCTTCAAGGTATAAAACTGTAAATCTATACTAATATATAAAATCCTTAAGTGACTGACATACTGATTAATCACGATGCTGCTCAAACCACTCAACGTAAGGAGCTCAATTTTGGCATACAGGTTGATTCTACGGTGAAGAGGTTCGATAAGAAGGGATTTTTCGAAATTCTAGTTCCAAGTGTGAAACCACCCCTCAAATATTACAATATTTTTTATTTAAAAAAGGTCAAATTTCCGGAAAAACGTTTGAACACGTATATTTTATTTTGTTTTTTTACATATTTTAAGATTTTTTAAAAATGTATACAGGGTGTTTCGAAAAATCTAGTCATTGATTAATCACGATCCTGCTTAAAGCGCTTGACGTAAAAAGCTGATTTTTGGAAAACGGATTGACTTTAGGGTGTAGAGGTTCGATAAGAAGGGATTTTTCAAAACTCGAATTCTAAGGGGGTGAAATTATCCCTCAAATATTAAAATATTTTTTTTTATTTAAAAACCGGTGAGTTTTTCGGAAAAACTCTTAAACACGTATATTTTATTTTGTTGTTTTACATATTTTAAGATTTTTTATAAATTTATACAGGATATTTCATAAAATATGACCATTCAGTAATCACGATTCTGCTTAAACTGCTTGACGTTTAAAGCTGATTTTTGGCAAACGGATTGACTGTGGGGTGTAGAGGTTCGATAAGGAGGGGTTTCTCGAATCTCAAATTCCAAGAGGGTAAAAACGCCCCTCAAATATTACAATATTTGTTATTTAAAAAACGGTTAGTCTTTCGGGAAAACGCTTGGACAAGCATAATTTATTTGTTTTTTTTACATATTTTGAAATTTTTTAAAAAATCATACAGGGTGTTCCAAAAAGTTGGGTAATTTCGTAACCACGATTCTGCTTAAACTGCTTGACATAAAAAGCTTATTTTTGGCAACTGGATCTTTCAAAAGTCAAATTCCAACGAGATGAAACTACCCCTCAAATATTACCAAGTTATATAATAATATCGCCATATTGTTTTTTCTCATGCTGACATAAATATGAGAAAATTTTATCCAGTTACATGTTAATGGAAATTCTTGCTTATTACAAATGATTAATTCGACGGGAACGAAGTCGCTGGTACACGCTAGTTTAATATAAAATTCTAGATTTGAAAATTGAAAATTCTCCTATTGAATAAAAATGACAAAATACAACTGTCACTGTCGTATACTCTTTCCATGGACACACTATATATTTTACTATTGTTTACTTTTATTTTTAAGCTCTGTTTATCGTTTGAAATCGGATTTTATTTTTCTCTGTTGTATTCTCATATCAAATCAGTTATAGACATAATTTTTTAGGAGGTCCTGGAGGATCGTCAACAGGGATAGGAAATTTTCTGGAAATCGGACCTTTGAACGTCGATCTGGAAGAAAGAGAGGCTGACTGGACCAAACACGTTAACGTGTTGTTTGTTGACAATCCAGTTGGAACCGGGTGATTGGTTTAATACTTATTAAATTCTTTGACACACCTTGTTCCTGAAACCATACCAATTTTTTTTAGTTATTAGACTTATTATTTATTAACTAAAACTAAAAATATTGTGGTCACCAAATGTGTTTCTCTAGTTTCAGTTACGTCAGTGACAGTGACATCGATTACTTCGCCAAAAACAACTCTGTTATCGCTCAGGACTTCTTGATTTTCTTAAAAAGGTTTTTCCATGAAAATCCAGAATTTCAGTATACTCCTACATATATATTTGGTCAGTCTTATGGTGGAAAAATGGCTACAGATATTGGATTGCTACTATATCAAGTAACAGCATTTATTTTTTATTATTTGATCTAAATATGTACAATAAAAATTAAATATATTTTATATTACCTGGTTTTAATATTAATTTTGCCTTTAAGGAATCAAAACTTGGAAACATTCTATGTAATCTAAAAGGCATAGCTTTAGGTGGTCCTTGGATATCTCCAATCGATTCAATATCATATTGGCATTCATATCTGTATAATTTGGTAAGTACAAAGTTTTTATATGTAATATCATGTTTTGTTACAGATAGTAGTATTGTTTTGTGTTTAGCGTAGTTATAGTTATTTTTTATACAAGACGATAAAGATAAAATGGTATTTTATCGTCGAGCGAAAAGATGAATTAATTTCGGGAGACGGTAATGCAATTTTATCGTCGTGTATAAAACAATATCTTTTTTCCATAACGAGTTACGTTTTAAAAAATATTCAGAAATTATTATTTCAAGAAATTTATTACGAGTAGAAAAAATATTGTGTTGAGTTGGCGTTGGTTTCTATGCAATTTGACAAATAAATAAAGCTGTCTCTTTAGTTGTCAGTTTTGAGTCAGTATTTTTTTATTCCCTTTCGTGTCGATTGCTGATTGAATTGGAGCCAGAAATGGCTCAAAACGAAATAAGTAAATTACCAACAGATATTCAGGCTGAGGCGACAAACGCCATATCCAAACTACTTCCATTTAAATCCCGAATAACTTATGAAAAGGAGTACAAAAATTTTCAAAAATGAAAGCAATTAAAAATGTGCGAGAAGAAATAAGGTTTTTAACCTATCCTCGCTGTTAAAGTATCATTTAATCTACTCTTGCGGTTAAAGTACTATTTTATCTACTATTTTTGATAGATATAATGCAATTTTAACAGTTGTTTGTTATACATTACTTTGGTTTTTGCTAAATTCATAATAAGATCCATTTTATTGCTGGCTGTATTTAGTTCGTTAATTTGTGGTGGTAGTTCTTCAGGACTATTAGCAATTATAGGACTATGTTATCAGCGAATCTTAGATAGCTAAGATATTCTCCATCTATTTTAATCCTTTGTTGGTTCAGTCTGGTTGACGGAAGATTTCTTCTAGTGTTGCTGTAAACAGCTTTTGGGATATCGTCTCCCTGTCTTACTCCTGTACCAGTTGGGAACTCTGGGATTATTTTATATAGGGAAATTGAAATAACTTTGGTTGCACATCATAATACGACCACCAGCAAACTCCATAAGACGACGCATGGTGTCATTGATGACGTGCAACGGAAGTTGTTTTGATTTCCCTTTATATCATTACTCTTGCTTTGGCTTCTTTGTATACATTGGCGAGAATTTCTATTATATTCGTATAACCCAATTATTTTTAGGGGTTCATAGATTATGAAGGCTCTGAGCAACTCAAAAACATGACAGATTTTATAAGAGGTGTACTGTCAACTGGCGATTATACCAAAGCCACACTGTATAATCGTGTTGTTCAATATACAGTGAATTTGTTGACGACAGTTGACTTCCACAATATAATGACCAAACAAGTGAAGCAATCGAGTGTACTACTTAATAGTTCTTGTAAGTACGACCTTTGTCCATAGCTAACAAATCTCAGAAGGACCACAGTAGTTAACAGTTAGTAGTGATTTTTTTGTATATTTTAATATTTTTTAGGGCTCCCAATTCCCATTGACATAGAATCTGTGGGAGATAGCATGCCTGACGACTTCTTCCAAAATTTCGATAATATTAAAAGTAATACACTTTTTATTAAATCTTTTTGAATTAACTGGTCTAAAAATAACTCATTTGCAGTAATTTCTTGATTAGTTTAAAATGTAGAGTATATTTATAGTGATTTATTAGTATTCGAGACATTTAGAAACCAGTTATTTCACTAACTATCGCAGTTATTAATACTCATAATTATTTAATTTTAGAATACAAAGGAATCAAGTCCTCAAAACCGGAAAATTTATACAGATTAATGAATGGCCCTGTTAGAGATGCACTAAACATAACCACAGAGCATAGATGGGGTGACCAAAGACGTTTGGTACACAGTGCTTTATATCTAGACAATATGAAACCAGTAACAGACGTTGTTGAAAGGTTACTGAATGAAACTGATCTGGAGATTTCAGTTTGCAATGGCCAGCTTGATCTAATAGTAAACACTCCAGGAAAGTTACACTTGATTTTAATTTTATAATTAAAATAAAAAATTAAGAGTCTATTACGCTGTACTGTTCGGGTCACTCTCAGGGGTCGCGTACAGCGGGTGTGTGGCCGAAGGAAATATATATTATATTTCAGAAATCTGCCTAAGGTTTAGCCAGATCGTGTCGTGTTAAGTCACACCCAAAATTTCAAACACACGTGCTTTGATTAAGGCTCTACTAAAATTTGCAGAGCTTCAACATTTGCCATAAAATAGTGAGCAATCTGTTACAAATCCATATAAATTATACACACACCGGAAAAATCTAGGGATATCATTTTATTAAAGTTAAAGATAAATGTTTTGAATAAACAACCACATATTTGTAGGCCGATTCTTTCTACTTCGATTGAAACGAAGTAGTCACACTAGTTATTTCCAAATTTGGGATATTTGCAGAAGTGTTTGTGCATTTTTTGTCAAATGTATAAAAGGCACCTAGCATCAATTGATCGAATTTAACCTGTACTGGCTATGTTTTTATGATAACTGGCCAGAATTCATTCAAGTAACTCTGTTTAGTATTAAACGACAATATGGAGCGTAGACATCTTAACAGAGACGAAATGCTAAGGGCCATGGGTATGCTCGAAGCTGGAATGCGCCAAATCGACTTAGCTAGAGCATTAAATACAACGCAAAGTGTAATATCGCGATTAAGTGCACGCTACCGTGAAAGTGGTGATGTTGCTGAAAGGCACACAGAGCGACATCGCATTACTACCCCTCAGCAAGATCATTTTTTACAATTAAATGCTCGACGCCGACCGACTCTTACAGCACCAGAGCTTAGTTTAATTCTCCAGGAAACACATAGTGTAACTGTTAGTCCTGACACTGTTCGCAATAGATTAAGAGAGGTCAACTTAAGAAGCAGACGCCCCTGGAGAGCTCAACCCTTCACGAGAGGAAATCGAGAGGTATGATATTGGTGGGCTCAAGATTATGTTCAGTGGTCGAATGAACAATGGGCCAATGTTCTCTTCACGGATGAGTCACGCTTTGGAATTCATCCGGATTCGAGAAGACTTAGGGTATGGAGAGAACCGGGAAATCTTATTCGGTTAGATCATGTTCAGGAAGTGCACCCTTATCAAGGTGGAACAGATATGGTCTGGGGAGGAGTCCAGTTAGGCCGAAAAACCGATCTCGTTTTTCTTGAAAGGTTTCTAACAGGAATCACATATCGTGATTTAATTCTTGAGCCTGTCGTGTTACCATATGCCAATGATTTTGGGAGAAACTTCATTCTCATGCATGACAATGCACGGCCTCATACAGCCAGAGTGGTAAGTGAGTTTATCAATGCTCATCAATTAAACATCTTACCCTGGCCGGCACAATCTCCTGACCTCAACCCCATCGAGCACGTATGGGACGCGGTCCAAAGAAGAATTTTGAGAATGGGTATGCCTCGTGAAACTCGTAGGGATCTGGTTCGGGCCGTGAATGCAGCGTGGCAGGCTGTACCCCAAGAAGAGATCGACAACCTGATCAGGAGCATGGAGAGACGATGTAGGGCTGTATTGAACAGTAGAGGAGGCCATACCCTTTATTAAGTAAAATGGTTTTATCTTTTTTTTTTTAATTCACAGTTTAGAATAAAAAAAGATGTGTGTATTTTTCACTAAGTTCAACAAAAATCAAGGTAAATTTGAAAAATTCGGTAAATTTCGCATTTTTATTTCCAATACGTCCTGTAAACTATTTGTTTATTTTAATTATATTATATCAGAAATGCAAATAATAAAATTACTGACGATGGCTGGATAAAATTGTAATATCCCTAGACTTTTCCGGTGTGTTTATATCACTGTAATCACAAAACCAATCTATTTCCGTATTGTAACGGAATTTTAAATTATGTCTTTATTTTCGAGAACATTTAGTCCAAACGTAAGGAATATTTTGTTGATGATTGACCATCAAAATCTTAAAAATAAAGAAGTTGTCTAAAAATGTGCTACAATACGGATATAGTATAATTCTTTATCTTTAATTTCCTTCTTCATTTGTGTAAGAAGACCTAGTCAGTTTTACATAAAACGTTAAGTGCCAAACGCTTAATTTGCTACTTTTTCGAACTCTTAAATAACTTAAAATCAGCTTGTTCAAAATTGTTCAAATTAGGGATGTGTATTCAGCATACGCAGACCTTTAAAAATCCTATTTACGAATTAACTATAAAGTTAATAGGAGAACCAATATTTGGACAGTTCATTTTTTTTACCACCCGATATATAGTCTAGACTTTTTGTATCATATTGACTATATCTTTGAATTTAATATAACCATTTGCTATTGCAGGGACACTTAAATGGGTAAACAGTCTAAAATGGAACAATAAAAACCAATGGACCTTGGCAGATCGAACTCCAATAATATTAGAAAATGTCTATGAAGGATATCAGAAGAGATATGGCAAATTAAATTTTTATTGGGTTCATCGTGCCGGACATATGGTAGGTTTAAGCGCTATTCACACATGCCAGTCATGTCTCAGTTTCGTTCTGTCAAACTGTCAAACATCTGTCTCAGTTTCGAGAAAAAAGATATTTTTGCCTTTAATTTCAAAGTGCATGTTCTTCTTCTTCTTCATGTGCCTTCTCCTTATCGGAGGTTGGCGACCATCAATTGGAATTCCTCCCTGTCTTGAGCCAAAGGGATAATTGCACTGGCCTCTCCTATATTAAACCACTGGCGCAAATTCCGCAACCAGGAAAACCGTTTACGCCCGATGCCTCGTCGTCCTTCAATCTTTCCCTCAACGATCAGCTGTAGGAAACTATATTTGTTATTTCGAAAAATATGGCCAAAATATGCTGCTTTCCGTCGTTTTATTGTAGTTAATAGTTCTTGGTCCTTACACATTCTTTCCAATACTTCGAGATTTGTTATTCGTTCGGCCCAGGATATTTTCAACATTCGTCGGTATAACCACATCTCAAATGAATCCAAGCGTGACATGGTCCGTGCCTTCAACGTCCATCCCTCGACTCCGTATAACCATGTAGAGAGTACATAGCATTTGGTAGCTCGCCATCGAGTAGTCAGATTCAGGTCTCGGTTGCAGAGTAGAGTTCTCATATTGAAAAAAGTGTTTCTGGCTATTTCAATTCTAAGTTTGATTTCTTCATCAGGATCCCATTTATCATTCAGCCAGCAACCCAAGTACTTAAATCTTCTTACCCTTTCTATATTTTGATCTTCCACTTGTATCCTGATATTTTCAATATTTTGTTTGCTGATAATCATAAATTTTGTTTTGTTTATATTTATTTTAAGACCATGACTCTGACTAATACTGCTAACTCTGTCCACCAGGCACTGCAAATCCTTCTCATTGCCAGCTAGGAGCACCGTATCGTCAGCATATCGGATGTTATTAGTAGCGATGGGAACTATCGAATGAATTAGACTATCGAATGGTTACTGAATGAATGATTTCAACTATCGAATGGTTTTATTCGAATAAAATCATTCATTCATTTGTATACTAAAGCATATGTGACAACCTCGCCGTGCGACTAAATGGTTATCGTTGCGCCACGACTATCGAATGCTTTTGATAAATTTAGTATTCGTTTGATTTTTGTGTGCGTCAGTGCATTATTAGTTCTTCCAATTTTTTATAACTTCGCCTTGTAAATACTATGCAATTTTTGCGTTTATTAAAATATTTAAAATACTAAAATAGTAGTTTTTTTTTAACTGACGATTGTGTGCCAAGTGGCCAAAATTTTTCCGAAAATTTGTGTGATTTTCCGTTGCCCGATCTTTCAATTATTTAATTTTATATGGTATATTATGGTTAGGTTAGATTGCATTTTTTTAAAGGGAAATTTTTAGGAGAAGTAGCAATTTTTAACAGAGATGAGATGAACTTACAATTAATTTTAAAAATACATATTTGTATTTTAGATGTTTTAATAATATGAATTAGTTGGAAATTAATAATCATATTTAAGTAACGTGGTTAAGTAAATGGTTATCGAACTCAAACTATGGGGTGAGAAAATTAAAATGAAAGTTTTACACGTGCCAATTTAAAAAAAAGGTTAACAATGTTTGTATTTTGTTTATGCTAATTCTCTTACATGTAGTTTTTTGCGAAGAAATATTTCATTTATTTTTTAAAGTAAATGCCAGTAAAAGTAAATATAATTTTTAAATAGTAATATAAAGCACCTAATATAAATAATTTTGATTTCTAATTTTTTATTTATATTTTCCTTTCATTACATTGCATGCTTAGAAAATTAATAAATGTTTATATTTCATGATTTTAAAATTTGTTGTTAATATAACAAATTAGTTCTGTAATTATTATTCTTTAATAAGCCAACGTTGCCAAAAAATTTAGAGACTATATTATTTTTAAATAGGATCTAATATAAATAATTTTGACATCTAATTTGTTGTTTATATTTTGCTACTACTTAAAATAATGTTTATATTAAATGATTTTAAATTTTGTTGTTAATAGGTATAACAAATTATTACTGTTATTATTATTTATTAAACCAGTCTTTGCTTAAAAACATTAAAAATCATTTTCCTACGTCCAAAATAACAAGTATTATTGCACTGTAACAACAGAATATTAATAAGAAAAATGCAGAATATATAGACATACTATCCCTAATTAACTAAAGCCAAACAATAATATTCTTTGCTAATATCAACTAATAGCAAAATATGGCAACAGCGCCCTTCATTATGTGTTTTCTGTGTAAATACTAGCACGTCAATAAAAAAATAATGTGTCCTTATTTTTATCTGACTCCGCAAAAAATCAAAGATGCCGGCTTCTTTCATAGCATTGCCACCGACCGCTGTCGCGTTTCTCGGAAAGAAACCTACGTCGCCGGGCGACAACTAAAATTCAGTTAATATTTTATTATAATCGATCCTGACGAATAAATGAATTTCATAAATGAATAAATTTTATAAATGAATGGTTTTTGCTGCCGAATTACTAGAATACAATGTTTCAAGGCAGATGACGGATCTATTCGATAATTTTTATTCGAATAGTTTTCAACGAATGTTTTCTTACTAACTATCGAATTATTCGAATGAATTGCAACTATCGAATGTTTCGATAGTATTCATTCGATAGTTCCCACTACTAGTTATTAGTAGGTTTACCATTCACCTTTATTCCCATTTCAAAATCTTCCAACGCCTCCTGGAATATCGATTCAGAATGTAAATTAAACATAAGTGGCGATAATATACATCCTTGTTTGACGCCTTTAAGAATTTCTATATCCGTTGTTGACATATTTCCGATTTTTATATAAACTGACTGAGTGCATGTTCACATATAATACTATGTGAATAAGCCTTTTTACTTGTGCAAAAATGCCAACTTCTCTAGAAATAATATTATTTTCAGACATTTCCTGTTATGAAAAACTAACTTTTAGTTTTTTTTTTCTGTTTTAGGTACCCACAGGCAATCCTCAAACTATGTTATATATTTTGAAACAAATCATAGGAATTGATGATTGATGATTAACTTTATTTTAATTATACTGTATAATAATTTATTGTAGAGCTTATATATTTTGTTTTAATAAAAGCATAATTTTGTGTGTCTTAATAATTTTTTTCAGTTCTTTCCCACCCTATATATCTATTTTTTTAAGTAATTTTTAGTCTGAGAAAACAGTTTTTGAAAAAACTTGAATTTTTGATGAATATTTTAGTAAAGATTTTTTAAATTCACCTTCAAAAAGGGGTGAAATAAATAAATAAAATTATTTTTTCGAAATTTAGGAGAAACGGTAATTTTCTAGAAAAAAAAGTTCAAATAAAGATTATATGAAATGAACAAAATTCTGACAGCTTTAGTATATATTAATAAATAATATTTTCTTGCCTTTAGCTGTGTATTTTTTCTAATTTCGAAAAATCGAAAGTAAAGAAAAAGTTAAAAAAAAAATAAAAAGTAAAAAGAAAATTGTCTTACTTGTCGTAAAGGGGGAACCAAGCTCCACTCCCACAACCGGTTTCTGGGCGTACCCTTCATCAGGTGGGCTGTCCAGGGGCTGGTTCTCACCGATACGGCAAGCAAAACTTCTTCTATATCAACAGACGATGTCGTAAAGTGTCGGTGAGATATTAGTGCATCTCCCGTCAAAAGATGGTAAAGAGCGTTTTTCGGCCCGCTCAAATATATGAAATGAACAAAATTCTTACAGCTTTAGTGTATATTAATAAATAATATTTTCTTGCCTTTAGCTGTGTATTTTTTCTAATTTAGAAAAAACGAAAGTAGAGAAAAAATTTAAAAAAATATAAAAAGTAAAAAGAAAATTGTCTTGCTTGTCGTAAAGGGGGGAACCAAGCTCCACTCCCACAACCGGTTTCTCCCAGGGGTAGGCCCAGAAACCGGTTGTGGGAGTGGAGCTTGGTTCCCCCCTTTACGACAAGCAAAACAATTTTCTTTTTACTTTTTATATTTTTTTTAATTTTTTCTCTACTTTCGATTTTTCGAAATTAGAAAAAATACACAGCTAAAGACAAGAAAATATTATTTATTAATAAAGATTATATAGAGCGTCCAAATTTACATAAAAATTGTCTCTATATTTTTTTTTCTCAAATCAAAATTAACCGAGATAGAGTGGCTAGAAGCTAGGGGACTTTTATTGAAACATTTTTCTCAAAATCCTTACCGTTCCTCTGAAATTTGGAAAAAAAAAACACTTTATTTATATTTTTCACCCCTTCTCGGGGTGAATTTAAGAAAATCTTAATTGAAATTTATAATTTTCCAAGCAAATTGAATAATAATGTTAAATATATGAATTTTTCAGCAACTTATAATTTTTTTTAAATTTCTACTTTCATCCTCTAGCTTCCACCCACCCTATCTCAGTTAATTTTGATCTGGACAAAAAAAGTGTAGAGGTCATTTCTATGTAGAATTTGACGCTGCACAACTTTTATTTGATTTTTTTTTCTAGTCCTTACCGTTTCTCCGAAATTTCGGAAAAATAATTTTATTTATTTATTTCACCCCTTCTCGGTGATGAATTTAAAAAAAAATCTTTTACAATTCGTTTTTAGATCTTTCAAAGTAACTTAAATAAAAAAGTTTTTAATAAGCCGCTTTTAGCCCATCAGCTTTTATAAGCTACTGTCAACAATTACTATATTTCCACATAAATAAATGCATAAAAAATCGACTTATTGATCTAACTTTAAATAAAATATCCTTCTTAAACGTTCAACACCCTTTATAATGCGGACAGGCCATTTGGGCATATCGGTGGATATCGGAAATCCCCCAAATTCTCTGTTTCCCTGTTCCTCCCAATAAGTTTCAGCAAATTCCCACTACTCTTTGCCCGGGCCGTTCAATCGATACCTGAAAATAACGAGAATTCAATGAAGCGATTCCCCCTCAGTTTATAACGCAGCACCATATAACTAAATCGTTTTTACCTATCCACTAGAAATACACTTGGTCATGGGAAACATAAAACCACCCTCTGTGATATTATCCAAAGAGAGATGATGCCACTTCCTCCTTCCATACATTCTACATTCTATTATTTAGGTCGTATATAAATCAAAAAAAAAGTAGGTAGTGATTATTTAGTGGCATATCAAGAACTCGCTTAAAATCAAAAAATGAATTATGAGAGTGATAATGAGCCCTGTACACCACCAGAGATAGCAGAGGCGGCCAAATTAACAAGTCTTGGATTGCTACCACAAAAGTCTAAGGATCATTACAGGTCTGCCTATAAAAACTTTCTAGACTGGAGGATTGCTAAAAGCATAAATTCGTTTTCCAAAAATCAATCTCCTGATTGACTACAGAATGTTGGTACGATATTTTCATGCAAAGAACTTGAAATAATATCAATGAAATTCAAATACATATATAACTTTAAATAAAACATAAATTACCAACTTTAGTTACACAAAACAACAAAAAGTCAGATGCTGGTACTCCAATTTATCGTTCTCCAACAACTGTACTCAACTAAAGTTGGTAAAAGTATGTTTTATTGCAAAAAAACGTGAAGCAGCATCAATAAAATTCAAATACATATACAGGGTGTTTCAAAACAAATGCGAAAAACTTCAGGGGATGATTCCTTGTTCAAAATAAAGGGTAGTTTGCTTCATAAACGTTGGGTCAAAAGTCAACCATTAGGGAGATATCGCGGTACAAAGATGGCGGAAAAATAATGTTTTTATTTTTTATCTAGAAAACGAAAAGAGATAGACTAATAAAATTTTATGGAAGCATTACTGTTATGAAAACACACTTTCTGGTAATTTTTTCACTTTTTAAAATGAGTGGAAGGGGTTGAAATAAACTACCCCTATCATTCTTGTTAACGAAATTTAAAGAAAAATCTTATCAAACACATGCAAAAAAATTAATTTGATAGTTTAGTTTGTTTAGAAACTTTTTTATCTCTTGTATTTTTTTGATAAAACTCACCGATTTGAAATTAAAAAATAAAATATAAAGCATTACATGTCAGGACAAAAAACATTTTCTGATAAAGAATCTAGTGGGCTGCTGTAATTTTTTTAGGAAAAAATCTAGTCGGCCGCTGTTACTTTTTAAGATGTTCCTAATATTATTTTATTTGACATTACTCTACTGCAATACGTTATTATCTAGATGATTATTATTATCGTTATTATCACTAGATTCTTAATCTAAAAATGTTTTTTGCCCTGACATGTAATGCTTTACATTTTATTTTTTAATTTCAAATCGGTGAGTTTTATCAAAAAAACACAAGAGATAAAAAAGTTTCTAAACAAACTAAACTATCCAAATTAATTTTTTTTTGCATGTGTTTGATAAGATTTTTCTTTAAATTTTGTTAACAAGAATGATAGGGGTAGTTTATTTCAACCCCTTCCACTCATTTTAAAAAAGTGAAAAAATTACCAGAAAGTGTGTTTTCATAACAGTAATGTTTCCATAAAATTTCATTAGTCTATCTCTTTTCGTTTTCAAGATAAAAAATAAAAACATTATTTTTCCGCCATCTTTGTACCGCGATATCTCCCTAATGGTTGACTTTTGACCCAACGTTTATAAAGCAAACTACCCTTTATTTTGAACAAGGAATCACGCCCCAAAGTTTTTCGCATTTGTTTTGAAACATCCTGTATAACGATAAATAAAACACACATTACCAACTTTAGTTACACAAAACAACAAAAAGTCAGCTGCTGGTGATACGATCTATCATTTTTCAACAAATTTATTTTACTAAAGGTGGTAGAAAAAAGTACTAATATACAGGTACCTATGTCGTAAAGCACATCTAATAATAAACTTTCCAAATATTTGAAAATATAATAATTCGAGATGACTGCGACTCTCGATGCATAGCAACTGATGATTATGCTGATGATATTGACGTTTTTATTATCTTTTAGTTAATTTTGACGTTTGAAATTGCCAAATTTTAAGTAGGTAGCGACATTTTCCGCTAAAACATGAATAAAATAATTAATAGTAAGATTAACATTAAAAATACAAATTCAAACACTCCTCATAATTATTATAATGGCCGTAGACAAAGTATAATATTCAACTCGCAATTTATAGCTATTATTCACAGGGTGAAACGTCACCCTGCGTGAATAATGGCTAGCATAAATTGCTCGTTCAATAATATACTATTAAATTAATTTAAATAAAACAATTAATTGCGGGAAATTTTTTTAATTAATTTAATAATTTTAACGTAACAGACATTACTAAAACTGTTTTAAAAATTTTGAGTTATTATTTTTTCTCTGACTAACAATTTAGGATCGTTGGCAAACTCCTAGTGGAGGGGGTCCATTATTGATACGGTCTGATACACATCCCTGTCCATCGGTACGTCTTGCGTCAATAGACCAATAAGTAGGTCTACAGTTCTTGTTTTCATACTCCAACCTAATTCTCACCGTTATTGGTAAGTGAGATCCAGCATCGAGTTGGTCTCTAATCCATTTTTCACAGTCGTACCTACACAGAGACAAGAGCTTATATTAAAAAACAAGACCAAGAACGATCAGAGAAAGACTTAAAAGAGTCCTAAACACAATGATATTTGAAAGATTTGAACTATACACTCCTTTGATTCAATCCAAATCTCAATGTGTAGTGGCGGCTTCGATAAAGATGTCATCGAAGAGACGAGATCTGCGATCTTTCAACATGCTCAATATTTTTAGCTGTACAGACCACAGATCTGGCGGAAAGTGTTCTAGTCTATAGACTGACGAAATTATCTGTTATAAAAACTATCGATTTGATCTTAAGATCTGAACTGTGTGTGTAAGGCTCTCTTTAGCAAGAATACATTTAAAGCAAACTTATGAAGTTCTTCAGTGGATCTAGCTGTTTGATGAAGGCAAAATAAATTTGTTCTTACCAAAGATTTAATACGCTGTTCCTGCATCTGTATTTTTTGTTAAGATTGTCAGCTTGAGGTGCTAAATTCCATGTTACTGCTGGTCCATAGAATGCCGAAGCTAATATGTGTCCTTTGTGATCGCCAGCGACTTTGTCCAATTCTGTCATTCGATTGTCAAAACTGGAAAAAAATATATCAAGTATCGTATAATAAAAAACTTAGGAATTGTGTTTAAGTCCAAATTTAAAGTAATATCTTGTTCATCCTTTTTAAAAAAAAAATATTAAAAATACAAGGAATGTCCTAAAATCAAAATTATACTAGCCATTTACTATAGTTGGTCTGCCCGTACTTTGCCATAAATATCGTAATCTTAAACTATACAGGGTGTTCAAAATTCTATGCCAAACTTTCTAAAATATAAAATAGTTTTTCAAAATGAAATTTAAACCACAAATAACAGTTTTGTAATGAAATTTCATGTTTTTCTTTTTAATTTCACTAAACACAAAGCTACAATTACGGTCTTTACCGAAAACTGATGATCTAAAACCCTAAATAACCGTAAACCTCTTTAATCCATCTTACCTGACCGTTTTGACTGGCAGAAAAAACGTTACGTCTAGACGAGACTTTACACATTTAACAACAATAAAGCCAAATTTTTTTTGGAAAAAAAATAGTAATTTAAAATTAATGAAATAAAGCAAATACTTACTTGCTGCCAAAGTTAGTTCTGGTAGTACTCTTAGCATGAAGAGTCGCCGTTACCCCAGTAGTTACCTCGGTACTATGTCCATTTTTGCAGACATGGGACATTGTGGTCACAGTTGCCGTATTTGGCCCTAAGGTATACGTGTGTGTAGCACCATTAGCTTGGTTTAAATAATACACTAGCGTATATAAAAGTGGTACTAGTAGTGTCTTTTCCATGGTTCACAGAGTACTATACCAAAAAAACAAAAAAATGTCTGGTTTTATAGTAATTATTAAGCTACTCAAGCATATCGTTATATTCGCATTTAAAACACTAATTATTATCTTCCAGTTTACATAAAATACAATAAAATATGCGTTATATATTTGCGATAGGTATATTATAATTAATATTACTTTGTCACCATATTTATCGCTGGCTAAATACAGTTTTAATTATTGTTTATACTCGTTAATTTAAAAAAAAAGGTCGACGTTAAACGTATTATACATACCATACATTTTTAATGACTTTAAAATTTAAACTTATGTCCTTAATGTTAAAGCAGTTTTCTTTGGCTAGACGTTCTTATCAATATTGTAATTAAGTTAAATATATTAATTTTTGGAACTGTAACATTGTCAATTTTTTATAGAAAATCTCGAGAAAAGCTCAACCTGCACGAAAAACGGGCATAAAAATTTGATGTATTTTAAAGTTTTATATTGTGTTATAATGGACCGATTTTGATGATCTTTTAAGCAATTTGTAGCTGAATTATTTGACTTTTTAGTGTCTCTATACCAAATCCAACCAGAATATCAACATCTTGTTTTCTCTCGTATAATTGACAGACGGGAACTGTCATTTTTAATTTAGAAGAGATAGCAATAAAACACTTTGTACAAGAAATTAGTAAACTTTTATTAATTTCAACCAGAACCTTGACAAGCCCCTAAAGGTAATGGACCGTTGTTTATGCGTTGTGCTGTACAGCCTCTACCATCTGTTGAATGAGCATCTATAGACCAGTGTGTTGGTCTACAATTTCTATTTTCATAGTCTAAGGTTATCCTTACTCTAACCGGTAAATTTGAGCCAGAGTCTAGTTGTTCTCTGATCCATTTCTCGCAATCATACCTAAAATAAAAAACAAATAGAAACTATTATAAGCCCAGATGTAGATGTAGATTGTGAGGCAGTAGGGAAAGTTAATCACTTCGACCTTGTAGATCTATTACGTGCCACTCTCTTGAGTTATAACTCATAATACAAACTTAGGGTTTTGACAAAACTCAGTATCTGAGACGGTTTTACAGAGGCTGGGTATGACAGGAATGGTTGTCGTATAGGAGTATAAAGACTTTATTTTCTTGTCCTGACAGTAGATCCACTGCAGTTTTGACTATCTTTCTGTCTTTTATTAAAAAAAAACAAATTTATAACATAAAAACTACTTCTAGAAAAAAAAATAGGTGTATAGTCTGTCCAACGAGAAAATACGTGTCAATGACAGTTGTGTCTGTCGAAATCTCGTCTGGCACGTTGGAGATATTATTAGACAGACTCTATATACTATTCTACCCAGTATAATACATGTACTGATTTCTTTCGAAAATCGACAACTATGAAACTATGAACCCTTCCCGGACACAAACGGTACATTGTGAAACAGGAAATTGTAGAGAGAAACAAGCCCTATAACATAGGATACAACATTTTAATGAACAGTGCTTTCCATAAAATCAATAAAATGAAAAATTTACAAAATAATATACATGTATTGATTTCTTTCGAAAATCAACAACCTATGATCCCTTCCCCGACACAAACGGTACATTGTGAGACAGGAAATTGTAGAGAGAAACAAGCCCTATAAATTAGAATACAACATTTTAATGAACAGTGCTTTCCGTAAAATCAATAAAATGAAAAATATACGAAATAATATACATGTACTGATTTCTTTCGAAAATCTATGAAATTATGATCCCTTCCATATTTGTAACCAATATATTCTTATGGAGCCGCGCTCGCAAGCAATCAAATAGTCGACCGATCGGCTCCATAAGTATGTATTGTTTTCACTTTTGCAACTAAATAGTCGGCCGACTAAAACATATTACAGATCAACGCGTAGGCTGTTGTTTGGAATTTCCCTTCACAGTATATTAAAACTGTAAGTCAGGGTATTCAAAGTGTCTTGTTTTTTAAATTAATATTTTTCTTTTTAGAAAATATGCGATAATTGTTTTGAGTAGTTTATTTATTTATTTTTAGAATTAATCCACTAAAATGTGTACCATCTGTGCATTTAATTTAGATATCTCAACAATAACAATGTCCCAAAATATGTTTATGTTAATAAGTTCACAAAAAATGCTTATCTTCTTAAAGAAATTAAAACAACGTTATGCTAATTCTATGCTATGCTACTAAATACCGTATGATCGAAATAAAAACGGCGTCATAGACTGCTGAGGAATGACAACCGATAATAATTTTGGCGAGGTCAATCCCTAGACGTCTCTGACACCGTTTTTTTCTCAATCGTATGTATTTTTATGAAAAATTAACTTAGCTGTTATCTACTTACCAGACATTTAAAATGCTCGTCCTGCATCGATATTTTTTGTTTAAATTATCGGCTTGAGGTGCCAGGTTCCATTCTACTGCTGGTCCCCCCACAGCTGATGCTAATATGTGTCCTTTGTGATCCCCAGCGACTTTGTCCAGTACCGTCATTCGATTGTCAAAACTAGAAAAAAAGTATCGAATAATTGAGTCATACGTCTCTCAAAAATACAATAAATTTTTTTTTGATCTATTCAAGTCAAAGGAATCTACTTACTTGCTACCAAAGCTTGTTCTGGTACTACTTTTAGCATTTAAGACAGCATCTACCGAAAGTGTCACTTCGGTACTCTGTCCATTTTTACAGACATGCGATCCAGTATTGACAGTGGCTGTGTTTGGGCCCAAATTATACACAGACTGTGCTGAATTAACTAAATTTATGTAAAGTGATACAAAATATACAATTATTGTAAAAGATGTTAGCTTCAACATCATTGAAATATTAGAAGATTTATGAATAATGTTTTCAAAATGAATGGGATGTATTATATATTGATTGTTTTTAAAAAAATAATGGTTTATTTACAAATAAGATAATATTTAGTAGCATCTATTTTAAGACAATTTAGTTCTTGATCAAGGCAAAATAAATTGAAAACAATAATAACTTTTAAAAGAATTAAGTCTGATATGGAGAATTGAAAACATTAAGTGGTAGTCTGTATTTCCCAAATTATTGTGTTTAATTATTAATATGTTTAAAACTATATGAATGGTCTGAAACTTTGTCTGAAACAACTGAAACTATACATATCTACATAATATATAAAATGCTAATGTTTATCTGTGTTGTCTCTACTGAAGTAACCACTTGCTCTATAGAAAGTTGCTTTTTTTACTAAAAGATAGCTATTTGGCTCTTCTAAAGAATGTCGTCGCCGGATTTTTTGTTTTTCATTTAATTAAAAAAAAATAAAAAGTATTTTTGTCCTGATATCGTGGCGGATGCGCCAGGCTTCAACAAGTCATATATAAAGGATAAAATTATATTCCTCTTAGATATCTTTGAATTTAAACTAATGCCGGGTCCACACCAAGGCATGACAAAAAGTAAACACGGTTTTGAGACAAAAACAAGACAAACTTGCGACAAAAAATGGGAAATTCTTTTTAGACACTTTATCATTAAAATCAATAGAGTTACTATAAATTTAATATCATCTTTCATAAGCTAGATTTACAGTCTGATTATAAAAATATATATTAGATATAAATTAAGTAAAACAGGAGTATTATAGTAATTAGAAAACTAATAAAAATATCCAGAGATTATCCAGCACGTTGGCAGGCACCAAAAGGCAGATTGCCATTCCGGATGTTCAACGCCTGGCATCCGCTGCCACTTCTAGACCTGGCATCAATAGACCAATGGGTCGGTCTGCAGCTCCTATCCTTATAGCTGAGACGTACCTTTACGCGTACTGGCAAATTCCGCTTAGAGTTCAGTTCGTTCAATATCCATTTTTCACAATCATACCTGGAAAAAAAATAAAAAGAAACATTAAGCTACAAAGCTAATTACAGATACTTTTTTTAATTGATTTTTATTCTATATCTAATTTATCTTTATTTATATATTATTTTTCTATAAATTTACATATAATATAAATAAAGTATTTAATTGTTATAAATTTAAAAATATTCAAACTTGATATTGAGTTAGGCAACTAGACATACTTGTCGATCGAAAAGATCGATGGAGAGAAAATCCCAACCCTATTTTAGTTGTCACTTTCAAAAAAGTAAACATGACGGAAATCAACACAGAAAAATGAAATATTTGGTGAAAAATGAATTAATTTGGCCTACTTAATGCTCTGATCTGTTTAGAAATAATTGAACAAAGTATTGAAAAGAAGGGTGTTGAAGATTATCTCCTATTTTTGGCAATAATGGTTGAAAAATATTGATTCTTTTACTGTACACTGGTTAGTTAATTTATTAATTTGCATTATCTTCTGTTAGATTTAATGAATTATTTAGCAAACTATATAAAAATGAATACTAATATATTTCCTTAGTTTATAGTTTGTACATGGATTCTGGCACTATGAAGAAATACAAGATATCTAAGGAACGATTAACTGAAGCAAAACTTTTACAAAGAATCATAAGAGATAGATGAAAATTTATACAAAATTATTTGGATAAAAGAAAAATAGAAGGAACTTTACATATTTGAAATGATTATTAATCTGAAGACATATATGTGATGAAGAGTTATACAGAATAAATTACATAAATTATACTTTCAACAATGTAAATAAAGCAGAGATCATGTTGAAGTAAGTTGTTATTAACAATATTGTGTATTTGTTGTTATAAATATATATTTTTACAGATATTTCTGAAGTAACTATGCTAAAAGGACTATGTGAATCGTTAATATACCAGCTTATGATGTCTTGCCTTCATCGAAGACACCTAATACATATTTTTTCAGCTAGAAATGATTTAGTTGATCACAGAGTACTACCATATATACCTGTTTAGTTATACATCTTGATTTATAGACATTCATTGTATATATTTTTATATGTTAAGGAAATAAAGAAAATATTAATTGTCAGTTTATGGTTGTTTCGTCTTGACCTTCAGAATCATTATTATACATTATTGAAACAAAAAAATATATGAGAGCTCTGAGAAAGATGAATAAGTTCTTAAGATCCTGTTTAATCATATATGTCTATTAATTTTATGACTCTAGTCTCTGTCTAGATAGATATTATGAAATACTAACATTTCACTGTTAAGAGTTGCAAAAATTCTCTACTACATATTGGTAATAACAATATATAAGATAAGAATGAATTATAATGCTCAATACGATTGAAAATATTGCAACAAAAAGAGAATACTTAGTTGCATTAAAAATTTGTCTCTGAAATGTTAATAATAATGTCCATTTCTTAGTGTGATTATATTCGAAAACTTGAAGAATATCTACATATATATAAAATGCTAATGTTTATCTGTGTCGTCTGTACAGAAGTAATGACTTGCTCTAGGAAGCTGCTTTTTTTACTAAAAGCTAAAAAATAGCTAATTGGCTCTTCTAAAAACTGTCAAAAAAATTTAAAAAAAAAAAGTATTTTTTTCCTGATGTGGCGGATGCGCCAGGCTTCAACTAGTACTGTATGTCCAGTGATAGGGTAGTGTATAGAGGACAAAGAGACCAAAAAAATAATTTTCTTTGAGATTTATTTTTATAAAAAAAATTCCTATAGTCTATTCAGGGAAAAAATTCCTAACAGTCACATTTGTCTCTGTCATTTTAATTCACAGACAAATTGTATTTTCTGTCATTTTTTGGATATCGTTTGTCGAAATTTTCCCAATCCGTTTCACACAATGCAGGAAAAAATACGATTGTCAGTGGATAAGATACCATATGATCGAGAAAAAAACGGCGTCAGAGACGGCTGAGAATGACGATCGATGATAATTTTGGCGAAGTCATTCTCTAGAACGTCGTTTAAATTCATTAAAAGATAAAGAAGAGTACGGGTCAAGTAGGGTCTTGGCCTTGACAGCCGTCTTTGACACTATTTTTTTTTCGATAGTATGATTTCTCAGCGATGGCTAGGAAAAGAAGATCGCTGTCTGATAAAAACGGCGTCAAAGATGGCTATGAAATGAACAACATTGACATTACCCATATAAATTTACATATAAAATGACAGCGATCTTTATTTCATAGCCATCGCTGACGCCGTTTTTTTCGATCATACGGTATGTAACATTATATGGGGAATGTCATCGATCGTCATTTCCAATCCCACTGGACGCCGTTTTTTTTTTCGATAATACGGTATGTAAAATTATATGGGGAATGTCATCGATCGTCATTTCCAATCCCACTGGGCGTCGTTTTTTTTTCGATCATACAGTATTTTTTACAAGATTAAAGTACCCTTATTCTAAACTTTTTTCAAAAATGAATTTAAGAATAATTTTTGAAATAATCACATCTTCTATGATACTGATTTTGGTTAACTCTGGATAGCAATATATTTTTTAAAATAGCGTATGAACGAAAAAAAAACGGCGTACAGTTGGCTTAGAAATGAACATCGATGATATTTCCCACATAATTTTTCATATAAAATGAGAGCGATTTTCATTTTATTGCCATCGCTGACGCCTTTTTTTTTCGATTATATTGTATTTAATGCCGGGTCCAGACCAAGGAGACAAAACAACGACAAGACAGAAACATTCATGTTTTACGACAAAATTGCGACAAATCCAATAAATTTCTGCGACATTTTTGTCTCATTTTTGTTTTGTTTCAAAATTCGGAGACTTTTCGTTGTTCCGTCTCGAGTCGGTAAAGATCAAAATGTCTATGTTTTGTTCGTATATTTTACAACAAGTTGGCGCAGTGTGGATGGCGTGTGCTGCCAACAGTAAAACTTATTCCCAACAACTATACTTTTGACTTTGTTGTACTTTTGTCCTTGCGATGTGGACGATTTGTCTCAAGTTTGTCTTGTTTTTGTCTCGAAATCGTGTTTACTTTTTGTCGCGTTTGTCTGGACACGGCATAAGACAGTAAGGCAATAAAAAAATAATTATAATATCTAATTATCGATAACTTTTATAGATCGACTTTTTATCAAAAAAATATTTTTCTATTCCATTTTATTCTCTTTATCTACCCAATCGTCTCTTTTATCAACACACTGGGTATATACATCATTTTATCAATAAACGCACTTTTATTCCAAAAAAAATATAAATCAAATTATTAAAAACGTTAAAAACACCCTCTATATCTATTAATAAATAGTCATGTTCATCCCTAATACACGTGATCAAAAACCGTTACAAACATATCACACCGATTTTGCGCAATTATTCTATTAGCAGCGCGCCATTTCACTAATGCCCCGATTGTTTAAAGCGTCACCCCTAATTAGCTCCCAAGATTTTTGGATTTTTCCCGTATTTCCTGGGTTTTTCCTCAAAATTTTACTGTTACTTTACGATATAAGTGCTCCGCTATCACTGGAAGTATTTTTCTCGGGAGAATTTTACCGAAAAAGTGATTTTCGTGGGTGTTGGAAGTTGGCCTCGAGGGGGTTAGAAACTTTTTGGCAAATTCCTCTGGATATCCCGCTGGTAAGTGTACGGAAATCATTATAAAGCATGCTAAAGTGATAATGTGTAACAATTTAACTGGTTATTTCGATTAAAATAGGTTTTAATCCATATAAATCGATGGAAAAGTTTTAAGGGACGGTTACAAAAAATGGCGGGCTTTTCAAATACCGCCGTTTTTACTGTAAATCGTTTTGTTTTCTTAGTAAAAAAGCCCTAAAAAGTGATTGATAAACTCCCTTAACGTTTTGCTGTGTTTTTCATGTACGTAATTTGCTTTTTCTTAGAGAAAATGCCACGAGGGTGATTTCCAAGGAGAAACTTTTTTGGCCGCCATTTTGATGAAGCCCCCATGGCGTCTGTAATTTTTTTTAATATTCTGGAATTTACGGAAATTCATATATCACTTGAAATATATGGGTAAGACACCAAAACCACTTGAAAAATTGGTTATTTTTTGTAATTTTGATTTATTTTTTGCAGTTCGCTGGGGCATTTGCAGTTTTATGGATTTTTTTTCCTGAATGGCAGTTATAACTGATGTAAGATTTTCTGGATTTTACTGTGATGATCGTTTTTAACAGTTTCTTTTCTTTAGATTGCTGTGAATGGGGTACATGTACCTAACAAGAGGAGCATACATTTAAGCAGTCCAAGTTCCAGTTAAAGCAGTACCTTCAACTTTTCTGGAAAATTTTGATACTCAAAAATTAATGATACTTTGTAAGTTTAATACTGTTTTTCTTTCAATTCTCTGTTGTAATAGTTTTTCTTTTTTCTCTCTAGGCTACACTTATCAGGGTACATTTTGTGTCTATGCATTTATTTGGTGAAAAAAGCTGGAAAATTCCTGGGAAAACTGGATTATGGCTTGAAAAATCTTTCATCTAATTTGAAGACATTGTTGCAATCATAGTAAGTTTTTTTTAACAACAAAAAATAATAATTGCTTGTATTTTATTGTATTTGTCATTGTGATTGTAACATACATTTTTATTTATCATAAATCATTTATTTTTTGAAGAATATATTAAAAAATAACTTAAATAAATTTGATAATCTATGAAAAAAAATAGTTTAAATATTCTTAATTGGTGGATGTACCATATGATAAAAAAGTTTTTCTACAATTAAGTTGGCTTTAACTTTGACAATTTAAAAAAAATCTGACTAAAAATTATTTTGTCACCATACAAAGCCCTCTTGATCTTAAATACATTTTGATCATATGGTACGTATTTAATTTTGTTGATATTATTTATTATACCGAAAGTATACATGGTGTGTTAAAAAATTATTAATAATAGCATGGTCTTTATTTGTATGACTTAAATGAGTAATTTATTTCACTATTGAGGAAAAGTTTGCAGTAACTTTAAAGTTTGATTTAAAAAAAGGTGTCACAGTGGCTTTTGAAATAAAAATCTATGAAAAATTGTCAAGCGTTAATATTTGACTTTCAAAAAAATGTTGTGTAGAAAATGTTAACTTTTTTTGATTTAAATACTAATTTTAGACGAGTTTTTGTCAAGCTTGACAGAAATGATATCGTTTTTTTTACAATTAAGTTAGCTTTCATAACAATTTAAAAAAAATCTGACTAAAAATTATTTTGTCACCATACAAAGCCCTCTTGATCTTAAATACATTTTGATCATATGGTACGTATTTAATTTTGTTGATATTATTTATTACACAGAGTGTATACATGGTGTGTTAAAAAATGTGTGTTAAAAAATTACTAATAATAGCATGGTCTTTATTTGTATGACTTAAATGAGTAATTTATTTCACTATTGAGGAAAAGTTTACAGTAACTTTAAAGTTTGATTTAAAAAAATGTGTCACAGTGGCTTTTGAAATAAAAATCGATGGAAAATTGTCAAGAGTTAATATTTAACTTTCAAAAAAATGTTGTGAAGGAAATGTTAACTTTTTTTGATTTAAATACCTACTAATTTTAAACAAGTTTTTGTCAAGCTTGACAGAAATGATATCGTTTTTTTTTACAATTAAGTTGGCTTTAGTAACAATTTAGAAAAATTCTGACTAAAAATTGTTTTGTCACCATACAAAGCCCTCTTGATCTTAAAATCATTTTGATCATATGGTACCTATTTAATTTTGTTGATATTATTTATTATACAGAAAGTATACATGGTGTGTTAAAAAATTACTAATAATAGCTTGGTCTTTAATTGTATGACTTAAATGAGTAATTTATTTCACTATTGAGGAGAAGTTTACAGTAACTCGAAAGTTTGATTTAAAAAAGGCGTCACAGTGGCTTTTGAAACAACAATCGACAAAAATTATTGCTAAAAGTTAATATTAATTTTGAAAAAAATGTTTTGTAGAAAAATTTTAACTTATTTTTGGTTTAAATACGTAGAGGGAAAAGTTTACAGTAGGTAGCTTTAAAGTTTGATTTAAAAAAGGCGTCACAGTGGCTTTTAAAACAACAATCGACAAAAATTATTGCTAAAAGTTAATATTAATTTTGAAAAAAATGTTTTGTAGAAAAATTTTAACTTATTTTTGGTTTAAATACGTAGAGGGAAAAGTTTACAGTAGGTAGCTTTAAAGTTTGATTTTAAAAAGGCGTCACAGTGGCTTTTAAAACAACAATCGACAAAAATTATTGCTAAAGTTAATATTAATTTTGAAAAAAAATGTTTTGTAGAAAAATTTTAACTTATTTTTGGTTTAATTACGTAGAGGGAAAAGTTTACAGTAGGTAGCTTTAAAGTTTGATTTAAAAAGGCGTCACAGTGGCTTTTAAAACAACAATCGACAAAAATTATTGCTAAAAGTTAATATTAATTTTGAAAAAAATGTTTTGTCTTTTAACTTATTTTTGGTTTAATTACGTAGAGGGAAAAGTTTACAGTAGTTAGCTTTAAAGTTTGATTTAAAAAAGGCGTCACAGTGGCTTTTAAAACAACAATCGACAAAAATTATTGCTAAAAGTTAATATTAATTTTGAAAAAAATGTTTTGTAAAAAAATTTTAACTTATTTTTGGTTTAATTACGTAGAGGGAAAAGTTTACAGTAGGTAGCTTTAAAGTTTGATTTAAAAAAGGCGTCACAGTGGCTTTTGAAATAACAATCGACAAAAATTATTGTTAAAAGTTAATATTAATTTTGAAAAAAAATGTTTTGTCGAAGAATTTTAACTTATTTTTGGTTTAAATACTAATTTTAGACAGGTTTTTGACAAGCTTGACAGAAATTATATCGTCGATTCTCATTTCAAAGGCTACAGTGACTGTTTTTTTATTGGATTCTACATTGTGTATCTTTAAAATCAATAACTTCATAAAACCATCCATTTAAAAAATGAATTTTGCTCTTATTTAAAAAAACTTTAAATGTCTTGATTTTTAATTCTGTGCCTACTAGTACAGTGTTTTAATTTAAGTGGCTTTTGATTTAAAGGATACACAGTCTTAAAAATATCACGTATTTTAAAATTCAATAGATTTTTTTCTAGTTTTTTTCTGTTTCTGCGATTTCCAAATAACTAGGACTTATTTCCAATTTAAAGTCCTATCCTAAATGGCTAAATCTTTATAACTTTGCCCAATACCGATAAAACTAAAAGTACAAAAATATATTATTAAACAGATATTAAGTCAAATTCAACGAGTGTATAAATTGTTGCTCGATTTCTGTTCCTATTATTTGCAATGTTTGAAATTGATTAAAAAATTATTTGTAATGTTTTAAAAGAAATAGTATGTTCTATTCGTAGTAAAAATGTACTTTTTGTGCCTCGCTGTAACGTCGGAATAGCTTTACGATGGTCCTTCAAAGGTACAGCATCGTCAAAAAAAGTATAATATTTACTCCTAATAAAACAATACACGGAAATTCGGAAATAGTCTAAAGTCGAGAATGAAATTAGTATGTATTATCTAATTTCAAAGTGTAAAGTACTTACTGCAGATCAAAATGTCGTTAGGAATTTGGAAACATACAATCGTTTCAAAAAAAAAAATAAAACAACACATTTGCTGACAACGATTATAGAATCTCGGGAATGAAGATATAGTCTCTATATCAGAAGAACCTAGTTCTGGCACTAGACTTTGCGAATTATAATGCATTCGGGCAGCGGATTTTTGTCACTTATAAGGCTTATACATAAATTTTAAAATAAATCCCTGCGTTTAGCGGTCTAATGGATTCACACGAAATTACTTCAAAAATCGATCCAACATTTAAATTTTGATGAATAGATATTTTTATATAGTTTTATAACATTTCCAATTAATTTTTCGATTTATTATCTGTTATATATGTTATAGAAATATCTTTTCTAGTTTTCTATGACACATTTTTATAACTTTTACAGTTATTTTTTGATTTATTATAAAGTTTCAATAAAATTATTTCTTTTTGATTTAAATCACATGATTAAAATTAAAAAAATCACTTGATTTAAATCATGCCAAACATAAACCAAACCAACCCTGTTGGTTTTTTAACATATTCCACAGGTTGTTCCAAACTTTCACAAAAATAACAACATTTTGAGTTCCCTTGTATAATTGACAGATGGGAACTTGGTATTTTTTCTTGAATTTTAAGTCAATATGAACTAACACTGAATGAACTATAACACTGAGGGCCAATTATTGGCCACAGGCAGCATTAAAAAAATTAAGAAAAGTATGTGCTAAATAAATGACTCCTAATGCTTGACCACGCCAAAATTATTATCGACTGTCATTTCCCAGCCGTCTTTGACACCGTTTTTTTTTCGATTGTTTGATATTAAACCTTACTAGCTCAAAAATATTTTTTATACTTTTAACATATTTTTTTATTAATATAGAATGATGTGATCTTGATGTCTGTTGCTTTTGAGAACTGAACCACTCAACTATAGTTCAATTGGAGCACTATAGAGCTGTATTAGAAACGAAGAGTTATTTTGGTGAGTCTTTTGATTTTTCTTTATCTTAACAGGGTCCTTATTGTCTATGGCAGTGATGGCGAACCTGTGACCCTTGGGTCAGTTTTTAAGTGACCCACGATTGCTTGGTATCTATTTATTTGTTTACGCGAGTTTATTCAGATTTTCTGGTTTGTGTTAATAATTTATATTCTATTTCTATTTTTTAAGCACAAAATCAATTTAAATGCTGTCTATAAACTTCACTTTGATCGTTACCGTTTGTAAAGTTATGCTCTCAATTAAAGTGTTAAATAATTTTACTCACATTTTGTTTTTGAGAAAAAAATTCGAATTTGAGAAAATTTTATACTTTACATTAATATAATATGTAACAGAAAACGGTTATTAAATTATGTGCAACTATAATATGACTGATAATAACTAAGAATAAAAACTTTTGATTTTCAATAGCTTTTTTATATACAGGGTGTCCCACTTAAGATGGATACAAGCCAATATCTTGGCTGTTTGTTGAGCGATCTTTTTCATTTTTGGCAAGAGGCTGTATGGCTATAAGACGTACATTTTGTCCAGGGTAAGAAATGCGATACCTCATAGACGTACGTTTTAATGGGGTTTGATATTTTTCGAGTCAAGAGTAAACTACCCTTAGAAGAGTATTTATTTCAAATCTGATAAATTATATTGAATCCTCCTTACCTAAGATACTTACGTTCTAATTTTGCTAAATATTGATACAGGGTGTGTCATAAAAATACGACATTTTTATTTTTATTATTATTTTTTTAAGTACTTACGACGCCACTGGATAAACAACTGGTTTATTATCAATAACCAATTATGTCCAATTATCAATTAATAATCCATATAAGTTTGGTCGAAGATGGTCGAAGATGATGACTTTTAGTTCGTTATAGTTTTATAAATCTTTGTTTAGAGCATATTTTCCAACGTTAATAGTGATTGTTTTAAATAACGATTTGGATTTTTTTAAATATTCCTCAATAAAACGAATAAAA